TAATGGTGTTATATTTAATTAATGGTATACTCTTTTATAAAGATTTAAATAGATTTTTGCATACAACATTATCGTTTTTAGCAAAACGATAATATTACTAGAATGTTATAATATTACTACAATATATGATGTCAATATTCCATAGGTGTCAATAATAAAATGTCAATATTCCATAGGTATATTGATAAATGAGGTCTAATTATAAGAAAATGCATTTTCTACGAAAACTTGAAGGGATAGGTAAAAATGGTATAATACAATTTGATAGACAATTAAATTGTGCATCTGGTTCTCCTAAAATATACAGGGCGTTCCATTTAAATTAAAGAAATTATTGGCGTTTAAAGCTAGAAATTATTTAAAATAAATTTTTAGACACTCTGTATAAAGTAGTATTATTTTTATTATCGCAACACAATAACTGATCAATAAGTAAACTTCAGTAAATATTTAGTATTAAAAACTTTGATACACTTGGAGAAATGAGGACTTAAAAATTTTACTGCAATTTCACAAAATTGAAAATATTTCAAAAACTGTAAGGTTTAAGTATAATAAACCTTAATCAAATTTACCTTTATTTTAATCGTAGAAACTAAAAATGTAATAATATACAGGGTGTTCCATTAAAAAGAATACAACTTTAATATTTTTTACTTATTTGGGACACTCTGTATCTTGTAAAATTATTTTTAAATTGTACCTCTAATAGTCCTTCATCGAACCCAAAACTTGAAATTTGTAAAAATATAATCGTTTAGCTACAATACTCCGTGTCGTATGTGGTGAACAACCCTGTATACTATTTGTTAAAGACTTTTCAATACCAATTTAATATTTTTAGAGCCATATTTTAATGAAATGAGCCATGATCGAAAAAAAAAAATGACGTCCAGTTGGCTTGGAAATGAACATCGATGACATTCCCCATATAATATTACATATAAAATGACAGCGATCTTCATTTTATAACCATCGCTGACGCCGTTTTTATTATATTGAGCAGAGGCCAACAATATTTATTTGGAGTTGGATAAAAACACGATTTCGTCTTTTAGTTCGACATTTAATGGTTTATAGTCGGTAATATTATTTTAACAAAAATATTAACGTGAACATTAAATACCTTACAGATACTCCCGTACTAAACACAGTTTAAATAAGTTTTTTTCTTGTAAATAACTTTCTTATCGTTTGCATTTTATACTCATGATGTTTGTTTAGTGCTTTATATAGGTTTTTTTTTTGTTTTTTTTATTCTCTAGACTCTTTTTTACGGCTCATCGTTTAAATGTTATGGATCCGTGCTGGCTACAATTAAATTGAACGAACCATATTCTAAGCATTGAATCGAATCTCACGATTCATTTTTAATACTCGTTCAAATGAACGACTCGTTCAGTCTTTGTCCACCTCTATTCTGCTTTTACAGGATGAAATTTTAAAAAGTAAGAATCGGAAATATCTCTTAGACCCAGATTTTACCTGCCGGTAGAACTCCGTTTTTGGGTTAAAAATGGCGCCCTAAAAAGCATTATTCTACATTACTTTTTATTTGGCCCCCCCCTAAACCCATACAGCCACGGTACGTACTATGTACGTACCTGGTACGTAATGTTGGGACGAACGTCAGGTCCCTGGTACGTACTATGTACGTACTAGGGACGTACATTTTCCAACGCTATGTACGTCCCCGGTACGTCCCTGAGATGTGGTAAAGTACGTACTATGTACGTCGCATGTACGTACATTCCAGGTACGTACATTTTATGTTTTGTTCCGGACCAAAACTGGACGTAAAATGATCGAAAGTACGTACAATGTACGTACTATGGACGTACATTTTTCAACGACATGTATACGACCCATGAATTTAATTAGAAATAATTCAATTCAAAAATAAAATATTTATTAATATAAAAACTCAGGTACAGGGTCATCCATTATGTCTTGATACACCCGTGAGTCTGGCATCGGTCCGTCAACTACACCCTTAGCGCACTCTGTCTTTTATTGGATATTGATAGATATTTTATTTCTTTATTCTCGAACTGCTTCTAACTAAAAAACACAAAAAGAAAACTAAGTATTCAAATATCTAACTCTTGCCTCTGTTTTGAAAAAATTGAATGAGCCGATTCTCAATCATTCGAGGTTGTGACTGTACTAGGTGAAATAGTCACATTATATTATTACACCTTAACTTACCTGGAAACAACGAGCAACAAAGGCAACGACAAAAGAAAACAAAGCGGAAGCCAAACAACCTACGGCCACCATGACACACAACACAATCGAAAACTGGATCGGAGTAGGTGCGCACTCAGTGTATTGTTGTTTTTATTTTTTACGTTGATTAATAAAAGAGGGAGCTACACTGAGTGCGCACATGCGCTCTAGTTCTGCCAATCGAAAACGCCATTAGAAACCGCCCGACTTCCGATTCCGACAAGACTCGAATGTGAACGAATAACTTAGCGGGAAATTTAAACAAAGGACTGCATAATTTTCCTGTTAGGCTTGATTGCATAATGTATTGCATTTTTAACCCATTAGGTTTCTTCAAAGGCTGTCATGCATTATGGTCATTGGATAATTTAGGAAATCATTTTTATAGCGGTCGGGTTAGATTTATTAATAAAAGAAGTAGAAGTAGGTTAGAGTGACTTGAATTAACGTTAGCCTAGAAAAGATCCACTGATCCAGTCCATTCATTATTATTGGGTATATCTGACCAAAATAATCCAGTCATGATATTAAAATTAAATAACATTTTGTAATGCGTTTCAAAAATTTTCAAGATATGTACGTAGTACGTACTCGCATGTACGTCCGTAGTGAAGTTCTACAATGTACGTAAATAGAACGTACATGGGGCACGTACTGTGTACGTACATAGTACGTCCCTAATTGGTCCCGGGACGTACCGACGTAAAATGGACATAAAATGTACGTCCCTGGGACGAAGTGAAATTTGATTAAATTTGTGACACTTTTATTATACTTAGAGATTTAGTTACGCATTTCGAAGAATCCAGCATATTGTCTATATACGTTTTACTTAGTAAACATTGGGCTTTCATACAGTAAAATAAAATACTGCGACTTTTTGCGAATAATGAGAAAAACTTTGCTGATAAAATGAGAAAAACATTCTTGGTTTCCTCTAATTTGCCAATCAGTGATATACTTATGCGAGGTGTAAACCGCTATGGCATTGTTGTGTACAAAGCGATCGCATTAGTGCCATTAGCAGTATAGCACAATTTGGCATTAGTAGCGACTTTAGTGGTATGGGCATTGCTCGCGGATCAGTCGTAGCATTAGTAGTATTAGTTGCGATATTACTACTGGCATTAGTGGCATTGACCGTGGAAACACTGGAACAATGATTTTTCTTTCTTTTTTTAGAATCGACGAATTATCCTTTATTTTGTTCATATTATTTCCTCTTTAAATGAAAATAGCAATAATTTATATAAGGTCTACATAAAAAAATTTCGATCAACTATCTGTGTCAAATACCCCACTGTGGGACGGTCCAAAAATAAATATATACAAATCAGTTCATAACGTTCTTCGCCGTCTTCTAATTTCCAGTCTCCATTGGTCTTTGCCAGTCCAAGGTTTTCGACGGTTTTCGTCTATTCCTCTTGTTCTGATGTCCCCGTCTATTCTTTCTCTGCAACTCCGTCTAGGTCTCCCTCTCTTTCTTTTACATTGCGGTGTCCAATTGAGTATTTTCTTTGTGATTCTACTATCTTCCATTCTTTGTACGTGCCCGTACCACCTGAGTTGGTTAATTTTGATGTCTTCTGATATTCTGTGCTTAACTCCCATGATGTTCTGAATTCTTTCATTTCTTAATCTATCCAGTTTCGATTTCCCGGCTGCGCACCTCCAAAAGTCCATTTCTGTAGCTTCGAGTAACTTAAGGTTTTTTTCTTTCAAAGGCCATACTTCACTACCATAACTATGATGCTTTTTTCTTTTTAACTATGCTATTTGTGGGAAATAAATTCCTATATCCGCCCCTGATTGTAAACATTGAAAAACTTGTAAATTGTATCTAAATATTAATTGCCTGAATTTTCGGATTGAGAAACTCCTTTGGCTTTTACGATTTTACATATCCATTTGGTGCACATGGGGAAGCTAACTCAACTTTCCCTGTTATGATGTCTGAGACATAAGTAGCACCTTCCTTTGCCAGTCTTCGACATTTTTTACACACGTAATGATTCGAGATCATGTACTTTAGTAGATTTTGATGGTTCTTCGACATTCAAGAAATCTAGGGTAGGTTTTTGGAAACTCTTCATTGCATATAAACATATTGCATTAAGTTCTTCAAAATTAAGCATATTCGCAACAGATTTAAATGGGCAACACGTGCTAATCCTAGACACAGCATAATGAGTCTTGTTCACAGCATCCACTCCAGATTTCATACTTTAACTTGATTTTGGTTTTTATGTAATTGGTTTTATGCAACTAGGTTATGAATTTTATTTTTTAGGAGAGGTAGTTTCATTTTATTTCGTTTAGGTTTATGTCTTCCTCAAAAATATAAACAAGTAAGATAGGTACTTCAGAATCACTCTGTTTTGCAGGATATTCAATACAATCAATCTGCTCTTTGTTCATTCTCTGTACCCTCATCCTTTGTTACAACCGTGTAAACTTCATATTTGTCAAAATGATAGTAAAAGTATGTGCTTGATCGATTTTCCATGCTTTCATCTATTTCTAATACTCTATATTAAGAGGGATATAATTATATACTTCTAAAGGTAATTTAACAACCGGTAATGTGAACTATGAGGTTATAATTCTCCAAAAATTTAACATTTAATAAGAATAAAAAGCTTTGGGTTTTTGGGAAATCTCAATATGACAGTGTTTACAGAAGGGGAAAGGTATTTTTTGGACTATTCTAAGTTACTTAGTATCTACTACTGTATTTAACACAAAATAAATTGGATGTTTCTTATTTCCAGACACAGCAGCGCCGTACGTACTTTACAAAGATGGTATGGATAGGGCGCAAACTCAATGGGGACCACAAGACGCTTACCCACCACCCCAGCAACAGCCCACACCTCAAGGGGCCAGCAGCCCACCGCAACCCTGCGGTCCTACGGCTGTGCCGCCCCTTGGGGTGGAGGCTGATGCGGTCACTCAAAGAGACCAGGTCAGTGTAAGTATTAGAACCATGATTTTATTATATTTTTAGTATTAGGTTGTCGATTTAAAGTTACTCTTGGAAAGGTTCTTGAACCAAAACCTTGTTTGCCAAAAATAAGCTTTTTACGTCAAGCAGTTTAAGCAGAATCGTGGTTAAGAAATTACCCAACTGTTTGGAACACCCTCTATGATTTTTTAAAAATTTCAAAATATGTAAAAAACCAAATAAATTATGCTTGACCAAGCGTTTTCTCGAAAGACTAACCGTTTTTTAGATAACAAATATTTCAATACTTGAGGGGCGTTTTCACGCTCTCGGAATTTGAGATTCGAGAAGCCCTTCCTTATCGAACCTCTACACCCCACAGTCAATCCGTTTGCCAAAAATCAGCTTTAAACGTCAAGCAGTTTAAGCAGAATCGTGATTACCCAATGGTCATATTTTATGAAACACCCTGTATAAATTTATAAAAAATCTTAAAATATGTAAAACAACAAAATAAAATATACGTGTTTAAGAGTTTTTCCGAAAAACTCACCGGTTTTAAATAAAAATATTTTTAATATTTGAGGGATAGTTTCACCCCCCTTAGAATTCGAGTTTCGAAAAATCCTTCTTATCGAACCTCTACACCCTAAAGTCAATCTGTTTTCCAAAAATCAGCTTTTTACGTCAATCGCTTTAAGCAGGATCGTGATTAATCAATGGCCAGATTTTTCGAAACACCCTGTATACATTTTTTAAAAATCTTAAAATATGTAAAAAAACAAAATAAAATATATGTGTTTAAGAGTTTTTTCGGAAACTTGACCGTTTTTTAAATAAAAAATATTGTAATATTTGAGGGGTGGTTTCACCCTCTTGGAACTGGAATTTCGAAAAATCCCTTCTTATCGAACCTCTACACCCTAGAATCAACCTGTATGCCAAAATTGAGCTTCTTACGTTGAGTGGTTTGAGCAGGATCGTGATTAATCAGTATGTCAGTCACTTAAGGATTTTATATATTAGTATAGATTGCCAAATTTCCTTAACACAAGTTTTTATTATCGAATATTTATTAAACAGAGTATCAATATCTACTTCTTTTAATTCTAAAATTTCTAAGATTTTTATTAATTCGTGGAAAAGAACTGTTTTCAAATTCAAGAAATTAATAAACATGTATATTTAATAATTTTTATAATTTTATTGTTTAATAAAAATGTGGCTACTAAACAAATAAAAATCGAGACAAACAAACAAACAAAAACAAACAACGCTTTATTGTGCAAAAAGCCAAAACAGCTTCATCGACAAAGCACTCACAAACAACAAAATTTAAGTCAATTCAAAAAAATTTAAGTCTTTAAAATTACAAAAAGAATATACATGGACAATTTTAGAACAGTACGCAGTAAATAGATATAATTTTAAAGTTATAGAATATTAAATACTTGACCTTTGACCAGTGTGTGAGATGATCAAAATTTTAAAATTCAAAATTGTTTATAATCAAACATCAACAAAAAGTCGTTTACCGCATATAGGGCTTCTCCAGTAGGTATGATTTTAGAGCCTTGCGAAATGCGGGAAAGAATGAAAGCGATTTGATATTCAAAGGCAGATGATTGTACATTTTTTTGGCATTGTACAGTATTGAACCCTTAACTAGTTCTGAGCTCGGGGTTGGCAGATAAAGATCGTGCTCTGCATTCCTAAGTGGATAGTTATGAGATGGCCTTTCGGGAATAGCAGATATGTGCTTGCGGATTAAGCAAACGGATTCAAAAATGAATAAAGAAGGAAGAGTCAGTATTTTCAAATTTTTAAAGAAATTCTGGCAGTGAGTTCTACTGTTCAGTCCCAATAAATATCGAACTGCTCTCTTTTGAAGTATGAAAACACGATCAAATTTTGTTGCGCAGCAAGTACCCCAGAATGGAAGGGCATAACGAAGATGTGACTCAAAAAGGGCATAATAGGCTATTCTAGAGGTTGAGAAGTTAAGTTCCTTAGAAACTGATCTTAGCGCAAAACAGGCAGCGCTTAGTTTCTTTGATAGAGCTTCAATGTGAGAGTCCCATTTTAACGAGTTGTCTACAAGAAGTCCTAAGAATTTCACAGAGTCCACGACGTCAATAGTAGTGTTATTAAGTACAAAAGGTTGTATAGTACTTTATATGACAAAACTTTAGTTTTTGATAGGTTGAGGCATAGGAGATTAGAATCGCACCAAGACTTAATGGTGCGTAAGTCATTGGATATAGTATCATATAGCGCCGCAACATCTGGGCCGCTCCAAGTGAAACTAGTATCGTCCGCAAAGAGGCAGATTTTACCGCTAATGTCCAGATTTGCAATGTCGTTGATAAACACCAGAAACAAAATAGGGCCAAGTACTGAACCCTGAGGGACACCACATTCTATAGGCTTACAAGAAGACATAGACGTATCAATCCTCACAAGCTGCCTTCTGTTGCCAAGATATGACTTAAGCCATTCGAGCGGCACTCCCCTGAAACCATAGTATTGCAATTTGTTAATTAAGATATTATGATTTACACAATCGAAAGCCTTAGAGAAATCACAGAAAATTGTTGCTGTAGAGTGATGGTTATTCAGGCTAGAGTATACATTATTAAAAAGGTCGAACATAGCATCATTTGTGCAACTGTTACTTAGAAATCCAAATTGATGGGTAGTAAGTATTTTATATTTAAGGAGAAAAGATAGAAACCTTAGGGCTTTGCGTGGGGAAAAGACATTAGGGCTTTGCGTGGGGACACGAGACTTTTAGATCAAAATCGGGATTGTGTTGGGAATCAAAAATCATAAATTTCGTTTTATCCGCATTTAGTTTTAATATTTTATATACTAATGTTACCTTTCTATTGTTATAGAGTCTTCCGTCCCCCGCCCCATCTCCCTACCCGGCCACGCAAGCGGAACCGGTGCGAGAAGACACGGACCCCATCCAGCCGGAAGCGCCTACCATGGACCTCGAACCCAGACCGGCGTCGCAACAGTGCTTTCCCACCGACCTGCAGCAACAACAGTCGGTGGCGGCGGCGGCCGTCGCCCAACAGCAACAGGCCTACCAACAGTATGCCAGGGCGCCGCCACCAGCCGCCCCGCCTCCTGGCGTACCGGGGATGCCGCCCCACATGCTCGGAGCCAACTTCTCCGCCTTGCAGTACCTCAAGCAACCGGGGATGATGCTGACGAGCTTGGGCTCTGACGGAAGTAAGTTTTAAATTTGTAGAAGGGTGAATATTACGTCAGAAGAAAAAAAAATTAGTAAACTTGGAGACGGTTCCTTCTAATTTATCTATGCTTCTTCCGGTCGCGCTACCAAAATCCGTGTGTTTTTTGATTCGAAATAATTTTGAGGGTGTTTATCTTCATTTAGAACCTAGCAATCAGTGGCATAAATTAGTTGTTTCAATTAGCGTAGAAATGTGTTCCTTTAATTTCAATCTAAGTATTCAGAACATAGACTTAAAATAAAGGCTGTACTTAAACTGCCGTTAAACGCTAGCTTACTAAAATACCGTTAATAGGTATGACGTCGTTGATGTGACGCACTTGACTGCTTTATGAAATATAGGAATTTTATAACAACTAACCAACGCTATCCACCCCACCAAATAACCAACTTAACCAACGCAACTAACCTCGACACTGATAAAAAATATCAAAAACAAATATAAATTAGTAAAAATCAACCAACCCCACCAAATAACCAACTAACCAATGAATTAACACCCTCCAAATAACCAGGCTAACCAACCCGCCAAATAACTAAACCATTCTAACCAAAGAGAGTGAAACCAATGCAATAAGATCACGCTGTAAGCAAAAAAAATACATCTCAACGCGGTCAAACAATCTTTTTTGTACACATGTTTACTTCTGGGTACAGTCGACCGAGCCTTCCTCATCCAGCCTATGTTGTCACGTCTTTAATATTATCAATATTTTTTTTCTTGTTATACACATATATTGAGATATTAATACTACAGTTTAATAAAGTAGGTTTTAATAGATGTATTAAATAGTCCTTATACTACTAAATTATAAGTCGGATACTGTTTAAAAAGGATAAGTTCTTTACAATATGACAACCCCGATTAGAGGTGAGGGAGCCTATTCATTCATTTATTACCTTGTAGTACGCGTCGCACGTGTGCGGTAAAGCTTTGTTGCCGCTATGTCCCCGGCTGTATTAACGCATTTTCTTAGCTTGTAGTCCTTAAGTGTTTATTTTATTGACTTTTTCTGTTCAAGAACTATAAAATATGGTTCGCCAGTGCCAAATTTGCAAGAAATTTGACTTAAATAATCCATTTAAGTCTTGAAACGACTTTCGACCGGTAGGCAACTCTCAATTTACCCATTGGGAGTCAGTGGCGTTGTTGTAGAAAGGCGCTTATTTAGATAATATTTTAGTAAAATGTAAAATCTGAATTTTTTTCTCTTACATTACATTATTTACATACTTACATTATAACCCTGTTAATAATTAATAATGTTTTTATTAAAAATATATTCCGGTTTATTTTAAAATTATCTTCAGAATCTAAAATAACATACAAGAATTTTAAAATGATATTACATTATGAAACAATATTTTTTAATATACCGGGTCGTCTCAAAAGTGGCTCACCCCCTATAACTTTTTATTTTTCAGATAAAAAAAACAGATTTGTATGTTAGTAGGTATATGACATAAATTAGGATTTATTGACGTATTCAATTGTTTTGGTCTCTTCCTGTTTACCGAAATGATTACATCTTTTGATTTTTAAAGGCACCCTCGGTATATTGCTACTTTATTCGATAAAAAATGACACTCTGAATAGAATGACATATCATATGTCAACATTTGACAATGTCGCTTAAAAACAAATCGTATTTTAAATTTCAATCCAGGGTACCATGGTGTTGTTAAAAACACTAAGTTTTAATCAAGGAGCCTTGGCAAAATAGTTTTGATTGTCTAATAGGTTTCGTGTCTTGTCTAGGCCGGTTAAAAGATGTACAAATCGTATTTTTAATCATATGTCAATTTTTCCAAATGGAACAAGGGTGATTCATTAGCATATTTGGAAAAAGCATTTTTTATGAATATATTGATACCACACACTTGGTATTTTGAGTCAAATTGTCGTTATGAACCGCGTGTTACAATTACAATTAAACCATATGCAAAAATGTCAAAAGTTGACATACGATATGTCATTCTATTAAGAGTGTCATTGTCTATCGAATCAAGTAGAAATATACCGAGGGTGCCGTTTAAAAATTAAAAGTTATAGTCATTTCCGGTGAAAGAGGAAGTGACCAAAAACAATTGAATGCGTCAATCAATCCTAATTAATGTCATATACTAACATACTAAATCTTTTTTTTTTATTTGGAAATATAAAAAAAATATGGAGATGAGCCACTTTTGGGACGCACCCGGTATAATAAAGACAGTACCGAATTAAATAAATGTAGTTTTCATTTTATCCACTTCCTATCACCTTCTCTGCTTTAATGGAACAGATTTATGTTTTCTCTAATTTACATAATAAGACATCACCGAACCAGAAAAAAAATTACAATAATCATATATTTTTTTCTCTCCCTGTCGCCGATTCTATTATATCTGTGGAATAGATCCTGTTTTGATTAATATTAGGGGTTGTAAATGTTTGACTAAAATTAATAATTTATTATCGGGAAAGGTTCAGCAGCTCAATGACTAGTAAGGCCTCTACGGATAGAGCTAGTGGAGCTCTATATTTGTCTCATTTAAACTGTGTTCCGAAAATGCAGTTTCCGAGATATTTAGTTAGAAAAAAAAATTATTATCTTTTTTAGAAGATGTTAATTTAAGAATTCTAAATTCAATTTGACACCCCTTTTTAGGTTATGTTGTATTTTTCAGAAATTGTCGAAATATAAAAATTGGTTTTTATTTGTTTTCTCACCCTGTATGTACTTTTTTAACAAACTCTGGATAATAAAAAATTTGGCTAATCGATCTGCATCGATCCACGTCCAAAAATCTTTTAAATTAAAATAAGTGAAAAATGTTCGATTTTGGCTAGGAAAATTTTTGGAAATTTTCGAAGGAATTTTTTTAATGGGGCGATTATAGAGCTTTACTAGCTCTATCGGTCTCTGGTAGGTAGGCCTCATGGGTCGTTTAGCTACATACATTTTCCGAGATATTTGCGTTTTTCGATATTGACAAAATTTCAACTTTAAATCGTTCTCTGCGAGTCCTCATGAAAATCTAAGAAACGAAAAATAGGCCATGGGAGGACGCTATCAATCGTTTATCCGACGGTGCATAAATGGTTTCTTAGAACTGAAGAGTTTGATAGATACCCAAAAAAAGGTAAAAAAAAAGCAAGATTTCTAAAAAAAATTTCCGGCCAAAATCGAGCTTTTTTCACTTACTCCGATTTGAAAGATTTTTGTGCGTGTATCGATGTAGATTGATTAGTTAATTTTTTTTATAAACACAGTTTGTCAAAAAAGTACATAGAAGGTAAGAAAAAAATATAAACCAATTTTTCCATTTCGGCAATTTTTTTGTTACAATTGTTTGTTACCATGGTTGTATCCCATGGAACAAAGAAAACAAGGTATGATATTGCGCAGGTTGGTCGCTACGTCACAGGTGATAACAGGCGCTATTGGTCAGCACGCTACGCGCGCCAATTCAAATCGTCAAGATATTATAATGAACCTGTTTTTTGTTTATATACCGTCATTGAACTGTCGCTAAGCAGGTTACTGTGGAGCAGTGCGTAAAGAGTCAGGCTAGGAAGCAAGAGACTAGAGTTTGAATCTCGGCCGTGGCATAACTTTTTTATTTAATTTTTTAAATACTGTTGTATTCTATAGTTTATTTTTGTAGTATAAAAAAATAACTATTTACTCGGTTATTTTTTAATCTCCGGTATTAATATAAATTGATTGTTGGTAAAATACCTCATTTAATATAAAATAATATTCTACTTTTTGAAATGTATTGGGCCCTAAAATTATGTTTAAGTTAATTTGTATTGAATAATTACCTACCATTAAAGGAAATTTGAGCTATAATCCCTGATGCATATTCAGGGTATGCAAATACTTCCTCTAAATTTTGGGTTTCGTTCAACCGATTTATTCTCAAAACCTGAAATATCTACATATAAAAAGAAGCACAGGTCACTAATTAAGTATAATAAACTTCACCCTTGGAATTACTTCTGTTACAATTAGAATACATTTATCTGCATTGGCATTTTCTACTTTGCGATGGGAAACAAACAGCTTCCCAACATTTTTTAAATGCTGTAACAATTTTTCTTGTGGTTACTTTTCCATAGATATCCTCATGTCAATTCAGAGACGATGAACATGAAAATTATTTACCATAAACATCGCAAACTAAAAACCTAATAAACAATTTTATACCGAATATAGAAATAAATTTAGTATTCTAACCTATTATCGTCGAAATCCATGTTAATAGATAATTAATATTTTGGATTTTTGTCTTTTATTTTTAAATATATTTTTGGAACTGCTGGTTTTAGTAATTATTAAATTAAACCAAAGAATTAAACGAACTAAAAAGTCAGAGAAAATAAACAATTCTTAACCATAACTTTAAAAAATGCAGATCTCCTGCATTGCCTGGAAACTGATATGGTGAAATTTTGATAAAATAATTTAGTACCAAACCAAACTAAAAACACGGTATGTCGCTAGTGGTAGGAAAAATAATTTTTAGAGGTTACTAGTTTATTTGGTTGCCTGTAATATGCATATACAGGGTGTTTCCTAATTAATCTAAAAAATAAAAAATCTTTAGAAAACGAATTAAGGCGGGCTCTTATTAAGTATATTTATTTTTTTCTCGACAACCGTTTAATGAACAAGAAAAACTCAAAAGATCAATTTTGTTGAAAAAGGATGGCCAGTCAAGAAAAAAATATGTTTTCTTTAAAAAAGCAATGGAGTACCATTTATGTTAAGCAAAAAAATCGATTTTTTTTTAATTTTTAACACCCTGTAGATCAGAAAGGAAGTACTTTAGACCTAATGGTTATATAAAAATTGTTTTAAGAACACCATGAGGAATCACACCAAAGAATATACCTAGCTAGAAAAAGAATGGACTCCATACTGAAAAATGGTCCTACAGAAGTGGCGCCATCTATTAAGTAGGGCTTGTTTTAAATGGATCGAAGCGCGGGCCTTTAATTAAATTTGATTATTAAATCTTATTTTTTACACAAATTCAACAATACTAATAACAACTATCGTTGTGATGTGTAAAAAATAAGATTTAACAGTATAATTTATACAATTATTAAATAAAATTAAAGCCAAACATGTGTAAATATTATTTATTATTTAAAGTTTTTATTTATGAGTCAAATATTTAAACATCATTTATTATAAGAAAACAAGATCAACGTAATACGCCCAAAGTTTAGTAAATGGAGTAAATATAAATAGGTACTTAAATGATGGCAAAAACAAAAGACTTACATTATATATTTAGGGCCACAAACAAAAGGAATTGTTTAATTAAAACACATATAACAAATTATAGTTTGAAAAACGTTTTGATAATCATTTGATAATATTATGATTGGCAACGACAATATTTTTTGAGAATTTGACAATAGTATGACAATGGCCGTTGGAAACTATGGAAACTACAAAAAAATTCTGATTTAACGCCATCTGGCAATAACTAGTAGCAACTTCTTAACCTAAAAATTAATTGCACTACCACATAGCGCCTGAGGCTGGAACTATTTTATTTGAAATTTCCGTGGAAACGGTGGAACCGCTTTTGCTATTTCACTTTCCCGCCCCTGAATCACACCATAATTTTTTTAGACTAATTCGAAAACACCCTGTATATTGTCAACTTGACAATGACTACTGATAAATCAAAAAATACCTTTTCAGTGAAAAAAACCTGATTTTCGCAGGAAAAATTTTGATTTTTATTGAATTTGGGCCTGCGTTTGCAAATACTCCTTTGTTTTTTAATTTTCTATCTATCTAAATTTTAAATATCATAGTCAGAAATAGTTTTATTATTTATTAACTGTAAAAATGGTGTTTTCTTGTTGTGTTGCATCTTGCAAAGAAACTAACAAAACTGCAAAAATGTACGTGTTTCCAAAAGTATGTATCTTAGATAAAAGAAAAATATATGGTATGTATTCGTTGTTTGATTTTTTTACGTTCGCTTTAAAATCTATAAATCTCGGTCTATTCATTAGACAGCGAGTTAGACTTACGATCATTTACATGAAACTCTGTAAAATAAATAAAAAAATAAATTGTAAAATATATATATTCTTATGTTTTATTAAAGTTACTCTGATATACTAATATATCAGTGTAACTTTAAAAATAAATCCTTTGAATTCAAATATAAACATAAAAAACATTTACAGCAGAAAAGGCAAAGGCGCTGGGGTAAACGTAGTCTCCACTAAAAACACGGAGGGGCGCTTTGACCAAAACTTTACTATTAAGTTTCATATCTACCTTAATAATAGATTATTTTCTTTTATCTATGATCTCCTGTCAACTTTCTTTATTTTTTATTTATTCCTTATTTTCCTAGTGACTCACAGGTGGTATGCGCGAACTGAAAGAAATTGGAGCCGCTATCGATCATACCTTGTTTTCTTTGTACCGTGGTTGTATCCAGAGAGAAAGCCTAATATTTAGCTTATAAAAGTCAACTTTTTATTTCTAAACACAGTTTGTTTTCAAATAACCACTACTTGTTTTTATGGATGATAATCAAAGGCCAAAATGACATTCCTCGCAAATTTTGGAGTATAATTAGTAGAAAAGTTAAAAAACAACTTTTTTTACTAATTGAAAATTACTACCACTAATTTTAACGTTCTGAATGCATACATTGAAACTTACTTCTGAATGAAGCTTAAAATGAATATTTTATTCCAAAATAATATTTTTCCGTCCCCGATGATCGTGTGAGCATGCTGATATGATATATAAATCTTATTTTTATGTAAGGAATCTCTCCACGAGAGATGGAGAGATGTTACGTGTTTTTTGAAACACCCGGTATAAGGTTTTTTAAATTGGGTTTTTAAAATAAGGTCTAAGGAACTTCAACGTGTAAGAAAGCACTACCTATAACTACTACAGTTACTACTACTACTACTACTTATAACATAAAATACAGTACGCTAAACACGACCGCAGGATACAATACTGTTATTTTAAATATATTCTCCATTCCTTGTCAATTCTAGATAAGATTCATTGATTGATGTATCTTTTCAAAGAAGCTATCAGTTTCATCCTGACTTAAATAAATGATTTTGTATATAATCTCATTAGAATAAACAGTTAATGAACTGCTAGTTATTCGAATTAGCTGTACAAAAATATTCTCCTAATCTTTACATAATTAAAACATATAAATCCAATATCCGTCTGTTTAATTCCGCAATTTATCTTTAAATGACTTAATGTATAGCGTATTTTTCAGCTAATCAACTCGACCAATATGCATCTAACATGCAGGACCTACGAAGCGCATCCTTGCCAGACGTTATCCAGCAACAACAGGCAGGTTTAAAGAAGGCCACTAATGGACTTACAGGAGAATTAAGGCTGTTTAAATGTCTGACGTGTGGTAAAGACTTCAAGCAGAAAAGTACTCTCTTACAGGTTAGTGTTTTTTTTTAATTAATTTGCATAAAAAATAATATCCAGCTTATTCACTATTACTCTTATTATTAGTCTTTCAAGTAAAACCTAAGAGAAAGTAAAATAAAATGTTATTAATAAACAAAAATAAAATACCTGCTATATATAATATTTCGTTATGTAAAATGTAGAAATAATTAAACAAATTATTTTATTTATTCGTTAAAATCTTAAAAAAACAGGTTTATAATTAGTTTAATTGAATAGTATATTCACTATATTTTCTTTTTTAATTTGGATATATTAGCATATCAACATTTTCTTCTGGGAAAAATAAATGCGTATCATAATTACCAGAATTATGCAATGCAACACACTAGCGTTTAATGTTTGTCCACATACTTCGTTAAGGAATTATTAGAACTGAATAATTATAAATAGCCGGTATATTTTAATCTTTTATGGTATTAAATTAAAAAAAGTGATATACAGGGAGTTTCCTACGATGTTCTCTATGGGTATCTCAGAAACTACTGGAGATAAAGAGTAGGTTAAATGGTGAAAGAATTATTTGTGGGAAAAGAAGGGGAAAGAAGATTTTTGTAGGGTCGTAGGTTTTGTAGTCATACGTATGCGCCTTTCAGATTTTCGAAAAATTACTGAGTTATAGCCAATTCTTATCTTTCTTGACCAATTTCACTTAGTTGGCGTGGTATTCCTATTCTGTTATGATTTATAACTTATAAAAAGACAGACGGGTTTTTACAATTTACATTACACAAACTAAACCTTATAATAAAATCACTTTTTCACACTTTAAATTATTTTAGAAAAAAATCCGCCATTTTTTGAGTACTTAAAAGCATCTTTTTAAAACTGAGATACTAGCTATTCTCACAGAACGACCGATCGAGTTAATTAAACTTCTCCCGTACCGCCCTCCTTAATTCATAAGTTCTTTTGTAAACCTTGTTAACCATATCGCATAGAAAAATCTAAAATGGATAGGTCAGGTGATTGAGAAAGCCCATGCAATCAGTCCACCCTTACTATCCCTGAGTTTGCATAAATTATGCTATAAATAATTTTTAACCTTTCTTTCAATATGGGGGTGGTTTCTTAATGGAACCACTCTATTGATGCGCGAGTATCTAAATTTAACTTTTCTAACATGTCTTGAAAACCGTTCTCAAAAAAAACGCAAGTAACGTTTACCGATCAACGTATCCTCGAAAATGTATGGCCAAGAAAAGTTGAACCAATAATCCTACACGCTTTTCTTTATTTGAGAAATTCATATTTACAATTTTTGTTTATTTTATTTTACAAAGTTTTGATGTGGTTTTGATGTGATGACAGTTCGAAATTTCTGAGACCAACGACAATTGAACTTGTTTTTTTGGCTAACTAAGTGAAATTGTTTAAATATGATACGAATTGGCTATAACTCAGTAATTTTTCGAAAAAACATATTATAGCTTATATCGCGGAAAAGATTAAAAAATGGGGCTTTTTATGAAGCCATGGCCAACTATGGTTTCCATTTAGATTAGATTAGATTCTTAGAGGTGGCTTTCGGCCTGATCCACTTCGACCTTCTCAGATCTATTGTGGTCCTCTTCTGATCCTTAGATTACATTCTCCAGTCCTATCCTTTTCACAAAGTTTAGCAACTTGGAGACTGAACCCTCCATGTAGCTCCTTGGCAATGGCCTATCATTGCCTATTACCGGGAACCGCACATTTGCCAGGCTGTCACACCGACATAAAATGTGTTCTGACGTTTCTTCTTCAGATTGGCAGAACCTACACATAGCTTCGTCTGTCAATCCCATCAGCTTTAGATGCCTATTTAGCTTACAATGCCCTGTTAGTTGACCTACTACAGCTTTGACTGTCTTTCTGTCCTTGCTTATCAAGTCTACCGTGAATTTTGGCGAATGTTCTACAATGAACCTTTTCGCCTCATAATGCCCTGGTGAGTTTCTCCACCATTCTAGAGATTCGTTGGCCACCCATCGTTCCGTGGCCATTCTCGTGACCGCCTTTGCAACGCCGCAGAAGGGTTTGGGCCTATGAATGGCATTGATGAGCCTTGCTTGGCCCTTTCATCTGCCTTTTCGTTACACTTGTGACCCTCGTTCCCTGGCACCCAGGCCAACGTAACAGTGCTACGTTCGCCCAAAGTATTCAGAGCACGCACACAGTCCCCCACTAGTCTAGAATTGACCTCCGTGGAGCTGAGTGCCTTTAGCGCCGCTTGGCTGTCTGTGAAGATCGCCACAGAACGATTTGTTCTTTGTTGCCTTATTATTTCTTCTACACAATAGTGGATTGCCGTTATTTCTGCCTGGAAAATTGTGACATCCTTGGATAGGCTTACGTGGAAGGTCTCCCTTGTTTCGGCCCTACTATCTCAGCTTCTACGCCTTCTGACGTTTTTGAGCATACCAGGTTGCCTCAGCTTGAATGGGTACACCTTTACTCCAGTCTTCCCTTCCTGGTATTATTAAATTTGTTGTTGAAGCTATACCTAGTAGCTGTTGCATCAATTGGCAATCCCAATACTTTGTCTGCTTTTAGCTCTTCGATTAGCTTCTGGTTAGCAGCACTATGCGTTTGGCTTATGTGCTGCTGACCGTGAATTAACCTGTGCATGACAGATCTGGCTTCGCCTTGTATGAAAATATGTGTGGTGAACTTAACAGCCTTACCGCACCCACTTGCGATGTCTTTGTCCACCACGCCACCGACCCGTAGGTTATCATGGGTCTTACTACCCTTGTGTATAGCCATAGAGTCATTTTAGGGTTATGTTTATGGTTTCCATTTAAAGAAACATATGTTAGTGTCATATGTCAAAAGTGACAGGCTTTAGAAGAAAACGGAGGACACAATCTCATTAAGGATGTGGTTATCTACAACTTTTATCTGAAAACTTTTTGTCTATAATAGTTTATAATGGAATTGGGACAATTTTCGAAATATCCGAAATTTGTTTTTTTCAAAATATCTAGTAAGCCACGAACTTTTTCAAAAATCTGAAATGCGCATAATTATGGCCCCACAAAACTGCAATTCTTTCCCTATTAATCGACTCTCTATCTCCAGTAGTTTCCGAAATATTTATGGAGAACATCGTAGAAAACTCATCCTGCATATTATAACAAGTGTTAATTTACAAAATTGAAAAGAAAACTCCCATTTAAGTGCCTCATATTTGTTAGAAACATTTGTACTCTTTAATGAAACACGGAAGGTATTTCATATTACATAAAAGAATCTTGATATAGGTTTTGCTTACTAACGTTGTAGAACTAGGCAAAGTTCCTACTCATTAATTATAATTACAAATATACCGTTAATATAACCACGAAACAAGATATACCAACAATACCTCATGTTCTGTCTGAAAGTTTTTTTTAGTTACTGTAGTAGTACTGCAGTTCTAAATAAATAGTTCTTTCCAATCAATTTTATTTTTTAAAGTGGAAAATTTTCAATTTTGATTTTATAACACCCACATGCAGCAATTAACACTTTTATAATATGCATTTTATAATTTATTTTTTATAAACCTGTATAACTACTGATCACTCTGTTTCCATCGTAAATAACATTGAAATGGAGCGAGTTCTTTTGTTCGATCAATTTAAGGGCCGGTTTTTAATACTCGGTTCAGGGTAAGTTCAGAATTAAACCGAGTTTAAAATATTAATGGGTTCAATGTTATTTTATCGTTGAAGTTGTGTTTAAAAATTAGGTATTTCACCTAAGCTAATTTTTTAATCATTTTATAACATCCTTATACTACAAGAAAATTATACCTAAATAGAAATGCCGAGTTCAAAATTTTTCAGAGTTTACTTGAACTTGAATTTAAGCTAGTACAACCGGACCTAAGTGATGGAATAGTCCATCTTAATTTTTATTTTGTTTGGTGCTTTCTATTGAAACATGTATATTGTTTAATATACAATCTCGATAAATTTCTGTCAGCGGTATAGATATTTGACGAAAGAAAGACCGCCGTTAGACGATTTTACATATTTATTACTATGAATACCACCGAACAACGAGCTTGTTGCGAAATGAACAAATAAAAATGAGAAAGAGAACTAATGAAAAACAGAATAAATGTCAAGGTACTCAAACAACTTACCCCTTTAAACAAATCCCAAGGGCAAAAACTAAAATAACTAATGAGATGCGCGAACAGAGCTAAATTTTACAGGTACGGTGGTTTTGGAAATATTCTATTAATTAGTGAATGGCACACTGCATTAACCAACTAATAGAATCATATGAATTCTTTTTGGTGTAGGATAAGTTTGCTTTTTCGGCAAATTTGTGATATTTTTTTAACTGACACAAAATTATAACTAGTTGTTAAAGTTAAAAATAAAAATATCTAGGAAAATCTTTGTTTGAGGGGTAGGCAACCTTAATAGTATTTTGAAGAGACATGAATTCCCCATTGAATATAGGAATAATAAGCACATTGGTGTTAAAATAAAAGAGTAATTTGCTTTTAGATATGATCAATATTTAATATTATTTTTGTCTCACCCTGTATAACTTTATGGGTCAAGTTTTAATTTAATTTAAAGTACAATAGTTATTTTAACTACATATTTGGCTATAGATACCAGGTAAATTCCATGTCGAAAGAACCTTATATTTTAGTCATATTCTTCTTTAATAAAACTAATCTTTATTTTTCTCCAAGAATACGAAAATCAGTTAATATACAGGGTGTTTCAAAACAAATGCGAAAAACTTTAGGGGGTGATTCCTTGTTCAAAATAAAGGGTAGTTTGCTTTATAAACGTTGGGTCAAAAATGAACCATTAGGGAGATATCGCGGTACAAAAATGGCGGAAAATTAATGTTTTTATTTTTTATCTTGAAAACAAAAAGAGATATACTAATGAAATTTTATGGAAGCATTACTGTTATGAAAACACACTTTCAGGTAATTTTTTTACTTTTTTAAAATGAGTGGAAGGGGTTGAAATAAACTACCCCTATCATTCTTGTTAACGAAATTTAAAGAAAAATCTTATCAAACACATGCAAATGCTTTAATTTGGATAGTTTAGTTTGTTTAGAAACTTTTTTATCTCTTGTTTTTTTGATAAAACTCACCGATTTGAAATTAAAAAATAAAATGTAAAGCATTACATGTCAGGACAAAAAACATTTTTAGATTAAGAATCTAGTGATAATAACGATACTAATAATCATCTAGATAATAACGTATTGCAGTAGAGTAATGTCAAATAAAATAATATTAGGAACATCTTAAAAAGTAACAGCGGCCGACTAGATTTTTTCCTAAAAAATTACAGCAGCCCACTAGATTCTTTATAAGAAAATGTTATTTGTCCTGACATGTAATGCTTTACATTTTATTTTTTAATTTCAAATCGGTGAGTTTTATCAAAAAATAGAAGAGATAAAAAAGTTTCTAAACAAACTAAACTATCCAAATTAATTTTTTTGCATGTGTTTGATAAGATTTTTCTTTAAATTTCGTTAACAAGAATGATAGGGGTAGTTTATTTCAACCCCTTCCACTCATTTTAAAAAAGTGAAAAAATTACCAGAAAGTGTGTTTTCATAACAGTAATGCTTCCATAAAATTTTATTAGTCTATCTCTTTTCGTTTTCAAGATAAAAAATAAAAACATTATTTTTCCGCCATCTTTGTACCGCGATATCTCCCTTATGGTTGACTTTTGACCCAACGTTTATGAAGCAAACTACCCTTTATTTTGAATAATGAATCGCCCACTGAAGTTTTTCGCATTTGTTTTGAAACACCCTGTATAGGATGTTCCGTTACAAAAACACAAATTTGATATGTAACTTTTTTAGGACCCTATATTTTTAAAAAGTGCTTTGAAATAATCTACATATGCTCACAAAGTTTCATTTCAATACAAACTGTCTCCGCGTCATTTGAGAGGAGCCAGCCTGTATTATTAATACTCTGTAGTTCAGGAATACATTGAATTTTTTCTTTTGCAGCACGAGCGGATCCACACGGATAGCCGGCCGTACGGGTGTCCCGAGTGCGGCAAACGTTTTCGCCAACAGTCGCATCTGACGCAGCACCTGCGCATCCACGCCAACGAGAAACCGTACGCCTGCGTTTACTGCGAACGGACCTTTAGACAGCGCGCCATCCTCAACCAACATTTGCGGATCCACTCGGGTGAGAAGCCGTACGAGTGCCCCGAGTGCGGGAAACACTTTCGGCAGAAGGCTATTCTCAACCAGCACGTCCGCACACACCAAGGCGAGCAATGCCCCCTCTGGCGGCGGCCACTCTCGCAGCCTTAGCAGCGCACATATCGCCCTGAAGATCTCTCATAATTATAGCTAATTTGTACAAATCATATTCGTTTTTGATACTGACGCGTCTTATCACAATCCATTTTGATGCTTTTCTTATTGTCCATGAGAAGTTTAACATATTTAGTCGCTAATACAATGACGTAGGAATGCCTGTTAAAATTCTACATATTTAGCCAAAGTGAACTTAACCAGGATAGCTATTAAGATAGAAGAGTTTAGGTAGCATTTACTTATACAAATATACAGGGTTGTTCACCACATACGACACGGAGTATTGTAGCTAAACCATGAGATTTTTACAAATTGTAAGTTTTGGGTTCGATGAAGGACTATTAGAGGTACAATTTAAAAATAATTTTACAAGATACAGAGTGTCCCAAATAAGTAAAAAATATCAAAGTTTTATTTTTTTAAATGGAACACCCTGTATATTATTACATTTTTAGTTTCTACGATTAAAATAAAGATAAATTTGATAAAGGTTTATTATACTTACACCTTACCGTTTTTGAAATATTTTCAATTTTGTGAAATTGCAGGAAAAATTTTAAAGCTTCATTTCTCCAAGGGTATCAAAGTTTTTAATACTAAATATTTACTGAAGTTTATTTACTGATCAATTATTGTGTTGCAATAATAAAAATAATACCACCTTATACAGAGTGTCTAAAAATTTATTTTAAATAATTATTAGCTTCAAACGGCAATAACTTGTTTAATTTAAATAGAACATCCTGTATATTTTACGAGAATCAGATGCACAATTTAATTGTCTATCAAATTATATTATACCATTTTTTACCTATTCTTTAAGTTTCCGTAGAAAATGCATTTTCTTGTAATTTAGAACTTATTTATCAATATACCCATGGACTATTGACATTTCAGATTATTTTTAAAGATGTACCAAATTTTTAAAGAGTACAGATACTAATATTGTCGATATAATTCGTTTATTTCATTAAAAAATAAAAAAAACTGTTTAAATATTTGTTAAAGAGGATCAATTAATATGATTCCAGCTGTGATTCCAGTATTCAAACTACATTAACTGACTGTTTGCGTTGATTAATAATAATTGCTCCAAATACTAAAAAACTGGATTTTGTATGGGCATTAGACAGTGTGATAAAAAGTAACACCTTAAAAATGATATTTCATTTTTTAATAAATGCTTATTTATAACAACAGAGACTTTAATTTGATAAGTTATTATTATATTGATTTCTGACTCAAATCCACATTTATTTATAATAATTTATTAACGAACACAATTAAGTATGTAATTAATTAGTATATGGGCGGAATAATGGTGTTATATTTAATTAATGGTATACTCTTTTATAAAGATTTAAATAGTTTTCTTTTTGCATACAAATGGGCTAGTAATATTATCGTTTTGCTAAAAACGATAATATTACTAGTCTGTACATTTTGTACATTTGTTGCTTTAAAAACAATCTAAAATGTCAATATTCCATAGATATATTGATAAATGAGGTCTAATTTAGAAGAAAATGCATTTTCTACGAAAACTTGAAGGGATAGGTAAAAAATGGTATAATACAATTTGATAGACAATTTAATTGTGCATCTGATTCTCCTAAAATATATAGGGCATTCCATTTAAATTAAAGAAGTTATTGCCGTTTGAAGCTAATAATTATTTAAAATAAATTTTTAGACACTGTGTATAAGGTACTATTATTTTTATTATTGCAACACAATAACTGATCAATAAATAAACTTCATTAAATATTTAGTATTAAAAACATTGATACCCTTGGAGAAATGAAGCTTTAAAATTTTGACTACAATTTCACAAAATTGAAAATATTTCAAAAACGGTAAAGTTTAAGTATAATAAACCTTAATCAAATTTACCTTTATTTTAATCGTAGAAACTAAAAATGTAATAATATACAGGGTGTTCCTTTTAAAAAAATACAACTTTGATATTTTTTATTTATTTGGGACACTCTGTATCTTGTAAAAATATTTTTAAATTGTAGCTCTAATAGTCCTTCAACGAACCCCAAACTTACAATTTGTAAAAATCTCATCGTTTAGCTACAATACTCCGTGTCGTATGTGGTGAACAACCCTGTATATGGAAACTATATTATACAAATGTAAAAAAGGTAGGTTTTATAAGAGTCGCTGGTAGTGTAAATTCACATCAAAGAGCTTACTGAATCAGAAAATATATATAATAGCTCTAAAAGCTTAAAAGTTCATGGCTTGATTGGTTATCTTTCTCTATTTGTTTCTGTCTTTCGCCTTTCTTCTCCACCCATCTACTCTTATCCTTCTCAAGTCCTCGTCAACTTCTTTTTTCCATCTGGTTCTCGGTCTACCCCTTCTTCTCTTTCCACCTATTTCACGTTTCATAATCATACTAGGATGCACTCTTGCTTCAGACATTCTTTCAATGTATCCCAGCCCTCTCAGTCTTTGTACTCTTGCTACTCCCGTTATTGTTTTAATTCTTCATTTGTTCTTCTGGTCCAGATCTCGTCTATTTTCTTTTCAGAAAATCTTCCTCAGTAATTTTCTTTCCCAAATCTCTAGCCTCGAACTTTCCGTTGCATTGAACGTCCACGTTTCGCATGCAAAATCAGAAAATGCAATGTTATATTATTAAAACTAGTTTGTTGTCAGCTAAACATTAGTCAAGGCAACTAGCCTTATAGTCTAAGAGCTAGCAACGTTTTCGAGAAAGTATTTTAAGACGTCTGACTCTTTGATATATATTTTACTATGCTCTCTGGAACAGCATGCGGCCCGTCTGGCTGCCAGCGATACCCGTTGCGTTTACTACTGCGCATCGGAAGAAGATCCTATATTTTTCATTCATTTAGTCCTTATAAATTCCAGTATTGAATATAAATCGAACATGTCTCCATAGCGCAGTGCTGACCACGAACCGATGATTCAGAGTTCGAATCGGGTCAGGTCAAAAGACTTTATCTTATTTTCGTTTATATTCTGATAGTAAAGTATTAAATAATTCTGGTAATTAAAAAAAGAACAAATATTTAATACTTTACTATTCAGAATATAAACGAAAATAAAATAAAAAAGTCTTTGTCCTGACCCGGATTCGAACTCTGAATCATCGGTTCGTGGTCGGAAACTCTACGCACTGCGCTATGGAGACATGTTCGATTTATATTCAATACCAGAATTTAAAGGACTAATAAAAATATAGGATCTTCTTTCAATGCGCAGTAAAACAAAACGCAACGTTTAACGGCAGCCAGACGGGCCGCATGCTGTTCCAAAGAGCATAGTAAAAGATATATCAAAGAGCCAGACGTCTCAAAATACTTGTTTTTCCGACGTTGCTAGCTCTCGTACTATTAGTAGTATATAATAGTTAAACGGATCAAGGTCTGACTTCAGACCCATTTAGGGGTGATTATAATTAGGGGTAAATTTAATTAGGTTTTTAAGCAATTCAATTGTTGCACATAAATTCATTCCAGTTCCAGTTCGGATTTCTCAAATTCCAGTTCCTGTTCTCACTTCTAATATCTCAATGACTCCGTTTGGGAAGAGATTCCTACTCTCTGAAACTAAAATACTAGGTTATCCTTTTGTGTATGCCTCTATGAATCCAGATTATAATTCTCTACTTGGCAGTGCATCTACAAACGCAAAGCTATATACAGAGGTATAATTATTACTTACTATGCAGAAAAAAAATCGTGGGTGTTTGGGAAGGCTTGAAAGGAAACTATGTTTTTGCGACGTTTCGCGACTTTATTGTCGCTTCTTCAGGCACTATAGGAGAAGCAGTTTTTTCCATATTATGCCAACAAACATTCGTAATGTCGTAATTCGTAATTTATTTTTTTTGCGTACTAACTACTGGGAAGTAACAATAATCATAATGGATAAACTTACTATTTAAAAATAAATCGAAAAATGTCAATCAAAATCATAAACTTCTATTAAGAAACATCTGATCCTCTATTCTACTAATATTTAAAAAATATAATACTGTTACTGTCAACTACTTGTTTCTTTTGATTATGTTTACTTAGTATATTATTAGTTAGACTAGAGTCGTAGAGATTAATATCAATTTAAACAATTTCTTAATATTGATTTTACATAATTTTTGCGGGTGTGATGATTTTTCACAATTTTTCAAAGTATGATTATCATTTTTTTTCTTTTTTATTACTTTACATCTATCGCCTATAAAAATTGACAGATTCTTAGAGAATTGGTTTTTCCAAAGCAGACTTACAAAATATACAGGGAGTTCCAATATTCCGTGGACATAGAACAACCTTTATACAAAAATGCGTCGTTTGTCCGTTAGACGGCATCAATCAAAAATAAACACGAACGTTAATTGATTTAAAATTTATAATTTTTTAAGCTCTTGATGATGCTTATTGTCAAATATAATTTATGACACTAACACAAATTTCCATAGTTTCGCCAACTAGATTATTAGAGCATAATAGATTTTATGCGCCTCCGTACCTTGAGATGACTAAAAATATTTTTTTGGCGTAAGCTTCGAAAATTTGTTTCTTCTTCTTCTTTTTCTTTTAGAAGGCGTATCGCCTGTTTAGTTCCGGTTTCCTCCTCGTCTAAGCGACTCTTGCGAGGTTGACTGCCAACTGTCTTGCCAACGTTTAGGTGGTCGTCCAGTAGGTCTTCTGCCATGGGGTACGTTGTTGCGAATTATTATGGCCATTCTGTCGGGGCCCATTCTATTGACATGCTGGTTCCATTCTCTTCTTCTCTGCCTTATCCATCTGACAACGTCGTTTGTTTGGCACTTTTCTCTTATGTCTACATTTCTCTGTCTGTCCCTCAATGTGTATCCAGTTATCATTCTTAAGGTCTTCATTTCAGTAGTTCGTAGGATTCTCTTTGTTACTGATGTTTCAGCTCTGGTTTCCGCACCATATGTCATCA